CTCTTTATGCTCCAGAAGAAGATTTTCTGGAAATATATATATTTTTCCTCCATTTTTTTATCTCTCCTCCGCCGTACGTACTTCTTCCTCGCCGATGCTGAATGCAAACCGGGCTTTCTCCGGCGAGTGTCCGGTCACGCTCCCTCCCTCCAGCATCTTGCCGAGAGTTTGAGAATCCACCGTTCTCCGATCTATGTCTTCTCCTCCGATGTTCCTCGCCGTACTAAATGGAGAGACTAGGGTTACGGTGTTTTTTTGTAGGATGCAATCTTCCACATCTCAACCTTCTTTAACCAGATCTACCTCCCTCCTTCTCTGCTGCGGGGTTCTTTATCCGCCATCGGGTCCTCTTTTGACGAACCCGACATGCCGACACCGAATTTCACGGGTGTGTCATCAACCACCTCTAGTCCTGCTTCTAGCTTTATGCGAAGATCTCTAGCTGCGTGTCTTCTATGTCCCAAGATCTGGTTCCTCAACGATGGATGTATCACCGGCGATTGCAGATTTTTGCCCGCTTCTCTTGCCTTTCGGCTTCTCGGCTCCTCGGGCCTGTCGTGATTTAGATCTTGTCCTTTTCCTCAACGGTTTCCGAAACACAGAAAAGTGCCCCGTGGTCTGGTCTCGAAGGCAAGTCCTCGCTCCTCCGTTACCAGATTTGGAGCTGTTCTCGGTGTGGGATCTCAATCGGAGTTGCGCTCGTCAGGTTGAAGTTTCATCTACTCAAATCAAAAGGACCAGTCACTTTGTTGAAGTGTGTTTACGGTTGTTCTAGCATTTTGCTATGTATTTTCTTTGAACCTAATGCAAGACAATCTTCTCTATTCTTTGTTGTTGACAAAGAGATTCCGACGTTTTCGTAAGTGTTACTGAGATCACAAGTTTTCACAAAGGGTTTTTGTTTGAAGGGTGGTGTACGGTGATCTTTAAACTCTTTATGATTACAAAAATCTAGCATATAGCTAAGCAAATATCTTTACCTCATTATTCTCCTGTGAAAATGGATGTGGTTGCTTGGAATTGTCAAGGGGCGGAAGCCGATCTAACAAAAGAATTATACTGG